ACTATTGGTAAGTCAACTACAATCCAAAACCCAGACCACAGGGAACCGACATCCACACAAGGGTAGAATGAGGATCATACCATTGGTAAGTCAACTACAATCCAAAACCTAGACATCAGGAACTGATATCCATGTGGGTGTAGGAAAGAGGATTATACTGCTGGCAAGACGACTATAATTCAAATCCCAGGCCACCAGGAACTGACACCCATGTGGGGGTCGGACACAGGATCACACTGGTAGCAAGTCAACTACAATCCAAAACCAAGCCATCAGGTGGGGATAGGAAAAAAAATACCATACCATCTTCACCTCAAATTGATGAGACTGAAGGGAATCTCATACCCCTGACCTATGAATAGGAACATAATAGCAATGTGAGAAATTGATCGATCGATCCGGGAACCAGCAATCCAGCATTGAAAAGATGTCTGTGTAATGTAAACCATCTCACTCAAAATCAAAATGACAGAAACCACCCAAAATGCAGTAACATCCTCACAATAATAAGAACATTGAAAGATAGTGGAAAGGGAAGAACCATATTAATCTGCAAATACCTCCACTGTGACCCACAACACGGATGGAGTAACAAGAGTATAACTGAGTGAGGGAATAGAGACATCTGTAATATATGTGTCAGGATTTGTGTTGATTGGTTCAGTTCTAAATCCAAAACCCAGCCATTAGAAACTGACATCTACAAACTGCAATTTTGATGGCTCACTCTCAAGATATATAAAATGAAGGACAACTTGTCATTTACACCAACAAAACACCACCACTCAACTGAATAGTTTAGTTTTTATACTGTTTCTCATTATCTCATTCAGGAGGATCCATCCATGGTCCACCACCCCAGCAGCTTGGAACTGGAAAGTGGTAAGGACTCCCAAACACCACTAGAAAAAAAGGGGGAGAAAGCATAGTGGAGAGTCCAGAGGAACGACAACCCTGAAAACAGTGCAATGGGTGACCACGAAACTCGATTTTAAAAAGCAGACCATACTGATATACTAAATACAAGGCATGGCAGGGATGGGTACTATCCTCTTCTGCTTTACCCATGAAATGCATGGGTGAGTATGGTCCAGGAAGGGCAACCTAATGAAGCAAACATATCACTAGGATAAACCTACAAGCGATCTTGTGGAACACCCCATCTCAGCAGTGTGCATTTAGTGCAGAGCGGGTTCAGTAAATAAAAAGAGGGACATGTCCCTGAAAAATAAGAGGCATATAGCAAAGCCACCAAAAATTTGGAGGATCGAGAGGTCATGGGATGGAAAAGTCAATCAGCAACAAAGACAAAAGCATCCGTGAAGAGAAATAATCCAGAAGAGGGGGAGGAAGCAGTAAACCCAATGTAGTTATGATCATCTATCAACTCAAATAGAAGAAGAAGGAAGGGTGAAAATTAAGAGAAAAATCAATTGAATGGCTTGGTTAACAGAAATCTCCATCAAATGCGTTTGAGGAGGAGAATGGATGGTCCCGATGGAGGGGTGTTTAAAAATACCCACCCTAAAGAGACAAGAATGTGAGGTATGGAACAGGAAAAACATATCCAACTGGAAAATTCAACTACCTAAGCTGACTGTGGAAGAAGTATATGAGCATGTTAAGACTACTCCCATTTGGAGGGAGCTAATCAAAGCTAGACATCCAATGATGGTGTAGGTACCCCCACCCCCCAAAATGTGGAAGTCCGATAAAATTCAGACCATCCCACAAATGACATATGGAACTGAAATAAGTTCAAAGGGCAATGCCACAAAACTGGAACCGAATCACATGGTGAAAAAAAACCTAATATAGTAGTCCTGAGAAATGGAAAATAAGAACGTGTACCGTAGGCATTCCCAGACATGCAGAAATATCCCACCCAAATATGATCAAAGACTACATATGAAAATGGAGAAGACCCAAGAAGTGATTGAGGTGGGACTGATTGATCCAGAACCTCAATAAGCATCAAGGATACAAGATGAATGGAGAAAACCCATAGACAGGAAGTTGCCAGATATGTAAAAGAATAATGATGACAATATCTCAAAATGAAGCAAGAGCAAAAAAAAAATTAATATAGCATGGCATTCATCCCACATGATGCTAAATGTATGGAAGAATTCCCAAAAACAGACCAGTGGAGGAAAAGATCTCACCTTAAGTCCCTATTAGTAGTGGATAGTAAATAAACAGCAGTGTCCTACCCAAGAAGATCCCAAAAGTAACGAAGCAAACATCCCAACATGAAGAAAAGAAAGAGGAGGTATCCCACAAAAAAATCCCTAAATATAGGTAGAACACCTGAGAAAGGAAGTGGAAGGTAAGCATTACCTGTAGGAGAGTAGATAGGGTAATATGAAGCTGAAAAAATAGGCAGGGGAGAAAATGGATAGAATTAACAAATATCCAAATGACATAAAGTCAAGAAGAAAATCTATCTAAGGCAAAACTAATTAAGCCTGTATAGGTCGAGGCTTGCAAGTGCCCACTCTCAATGTCAGAAGAAGGGGGAATATACTGTGAAACATGTCAAAAACAAAAATAAAACTGAGATAGGCCTAGCAGATTCTGCAGTAGATGCCTGGAATGCAATACATGATAAGGTGGAGGAAGAAGACAAGCAATATTGGGAGCAGGTAGGGTGGACCCCAGTCCCCAGGGACCCACACAAACAAAATTATGGGTAAGAAGTACAAATTAAACAAAATTAATGATAAGAAATTGTGTAGTGAAATAAACATATGTAATACATGTTATGTGTTCAAGAAAACAAAATAGTTAACTTAACTATCGAGAAATACAACCACAGGTAAACTGAAATTAACAGACATTTACTAACCCTGAGCTAACAAGATATTAAACTAAATTAGTGATTAACTCATAAATAGAATTACAGGTAAACCAAAAATAACAGACACGTGTTAAGCTTAATCGAACAGTACAGGTCAAAGGATATCACAAAGCTCTAAAATAAAAAATCTTAACCTAACAATAAGTATGTACAATATTGGGAGAAGTTTGTGCAGACCCTAGCTCAAGGGTTCCATACAAACCAAGTTAATATGAAGAACTATAAAAAATAAATAATAATGAGAATGAAATAAACATTAATTTATAAACTGAAATAAGTGTTTATTAACAATAACATATACATGAGACATGATGTATGGAAGAAAAACAATATAGTTAAAAGAATGATTGATATACCAGTATGATAAATTACAGGGAATCCTAAAATAACAAACAACCATGATATCATTTGTAAGGGGGAAAAGATGCAACTAAGCCTAATTTCTGACCTGAACTGGACTGTGAGTATCAACCAATCTAACAAAACTTATGTTATAAAACTCAATTAACTACAGATAATAATATTAAAAATAAAATTGTTCAAAAACTGTAACAGTATAATTTTTTTCAAAGTTGGCAGACAGTATGTTAAAAGGTGTGGGCCCCCAAACTCAAGGCCAAGCATGACAAAGGTCAGCTCATTGGACGATCAATCACCTGACAAAGTAAAGCCGAACATCTTCCCATGGAATACCAATACCTGAAGCCTGTGTAAATGTGCTGATAGAACATATAACCTCCGATGTGGTAACGTAGAATTCATAATGTAAAATAAATAACCAAACACAACTGTGTTGACACAAAGAAATAAAAAGTTTTTGTAATGAAGTAATAAGTTCCGTGACTGGGAAGAAATATAAAATAATTCCACTTCAGAATAACTCAACAAGTTACAAATATCACTACTGTATAATAAAGAGTAAACTTCTTGAAAGATATTAATAGAAAGATATAGAAAAAAAATAATAATAAAACCCTTGAAAAGAGCACAAACTAAATGTTATAGCATGAGTACTGCCAAAGAAGAAGTAACAGTTCAGTAGAACTGAATAGAGCAAGTCATATGCATCAAGAAAGTATGTCACACTCTTATTGGTAGAGAATTGTCACATGATGATTTGAATGTGTGATGCATTGGAATCAGTTAATTTCAGATGGGTGGGAGCTTCAAGGTTTGTGGCATGTGCAAAAATATTTTGCATATAGAGAGCAGCACTGAATGAGAATAGCTATTTATGTGAGAGGAGATAATGTACAATATCAGAATACCCTCTTAACTACTTACTGGCTTATTACCAGTAAGTGCAGTAACCTGAATAAAAATTCATTGTTTCATAGGAAATTTATTACCTAACAAACTACTTCTGTATTTTTGCTTCTTTATCTTATTTTGTGATTATCTAGGTCTCCTGTTTTAATTTAAATGGTAGTAATGAACAAAGTTCTACACAAAAAACAAAATATAAAGCCTTTTCCCAATAACAGTAAATTTTAAGTAAAAATATTTAAACTGAAATTAATATTTACACTCTATAAAATTAAATAAGGATTAAGATTAAATATTTCAGTACTGAATGACCCAGTAAGTACAAGATAAAGTTTGAAAATGTTTAGATGCTGGGAAAATGGGTCTAAAAGTGTAAAATGTAGAAATCTGAAATTTCAAAATCAAAGTCAACATTTTTTAAATAATGTTCTTCTTCCTTGTAAGTATTATCGCAGAGAAAAATGTCAAAATACAACAAAAGTTTTACAGAATTTCTCAAGTATCATATTCACTAAGCTAGCTATAGTGGCTATATTTCTGTCATAGTATGACTAATTTGTACAATATTAGCTTACAAGAAAATAATTTAAGAGACACCTTCAACTAATAAAACACAAAATACCCTCTTAACTACTTACTGGCTTATTATTTAAGTCTAAAATTATAAATGAAATGATTTTTTTTTAAGTGAGAAAAAAATACCCATTAAATGTCATTTTGACAGAATACAATTTTCTGAGCATTTCAAAAGAAATGCATACATACTGTTAAAATAAGAAAACACACAACAACAGGCTGCCAAACAAAATAAATAATTTTCTTATACAAAACATATGAATGTAAGAAATTATTAACAATACAAATGTATATATACCTAAAAAAGAACACAACAACCTTCTTCAATAACAGGTGTTGGTGGTAACAATTCTGGTGGTGGTTCTGGGTAATGTCCATCCATGTAAACATTAATCACAAAAATGAAGTATTCATTTCTATTACCTCTGTTAAATATGAATGAGGCTTCCACACCACTGAATGGCTCACCACCATTGAAAAGTCTCATCGCAATTGTTTCTACACTTAAAACTCTTGCACCTAAGGGTATAAAAAATAAAGAATGTTAACATGTTATTTTACATTTTAAGTTATGAAAAACGTTTCCATTTGCATTAAAAATCAAGTAGAACATCACTACAAACATTTCCATACTTAATGTTTACATTCTGGTAGAGAAGAAGTAACACTGACAATATCTCTTAAAATTTCTAAAACCTCAAAAATATACATTATCATGTTAAAGAATACAACTCTTGAAGGGGTTTTCCAGTACAACTTAAAAAAAGATGAAATAAAACAGACACTATATAAACATAGGAAAATGACACTAAGACAAAAAACAGTTAAACTTCTCAAATATTGGTACTTATTATCTGGATTAGTCTTGCATCTTTTTTCTCTCCTTTACTGGCAAGTTTGTTCAGTTATTTTTAAGACCATACACAACTTCACAACAATAAAATTGTTTTTTTTTTGTTTGATCGTTCAAATGTAAATTTTGTTATGGAATCATACAGCAGAAAGCACAAAAGAGAAATGGAAACTTGAGAAAGAAAAAATCAACATGTTCTACTAAACACTACAAGCACAGTCCAAAGAGATCTTCTATATCCTTACTTTACATATAGTATCCTACATAAAACTAAAACACATGGGTAAATATCAAGTAAAAAATAAAATATGGCTTTAAAAATTTGTATGCACAGAATGAATACGTTAAGCTGAAACAAAGAAAAGAGACAAACACAGTTGTTTCACTTTGAAGCAAAATACTTAACTGAAAATAAATAACCTGAAAGCAATTGCATGACACCATATTCCTACTGCATCTTTAACTTCTGGTCAGCTTCTCTGAATGTGCAACAACTGCTTATGATAATCACCAGGACTAATCTCACTTTTGTCACTTTGTTTGTTTTGAACTTTATGCAAAGCTACATGAGGGCTATCTGTGCTAGCCATCTCTAACTTAGCAATGAAAGACTAAAAGAAAGGCAGCTAGTCATGACCACCAACTCTTGGAGTACTCTTTTACCAATGAATAGCGGATTGTTTTGCTTTGTTTTTGGAATTTCGCGCAAAGCTACACGAGGGCT